CAGCCAGACGCGATGTGGTCTTTGGGGTCAGCCACCTAGTCATTAAAGTCGTCCTGATTACGAGAACACTGACTGCATAAACATACCGAAAGTAGTAAACAGAAAGGCTGGTTGCACAGAAAACTGGTTATCCGATTGACTGATGATGGGCGGTGAAAGGTGGTTATGCGAAAAAAAATACTGCACAAACAGACGTCGTCGTCGTCTTCGACCTACCCCAAACTGGCCCTTTCCGATGGGATCGCGATCAATTTGAAGTTCAGCAGGATCCAGCTCAAATTCGTCCAGGCCCATACCAGCGGTGACGGGGCTTTCGCGATCCTTGACCGGCGGAGAACGCAGGCGCACGACCAGGCCACCGGAATTGTGCTTGTGATAGTGAATAACATCACTAATGGTCGGGAAGGCATGTTTTTCGGAAAGGTAGAATTGGGCTTCACCAGCACCACCAACACCGCCGCCACCACCACCACCTCCGGAGTTGGAGGTTGAGTTGCCGTTGGCGGCACCACCACCAATACCGTTGGCGAAACCATTGGAATGACCGTTAGGCAGGCTCAGGGAGTTTCCCTCGGTGCGATGGATATGGTAGTGATGGACCTTCAACTTTCCCGGGCTGTACAAATGGAGGGGGGACGGATGAGAAAGTTAAGAAAAGTGCACTATTCAACTAGTAGCATTATTATAATTATTCGTTGCTGAACTTTCACCCAACCGTTAACGGAACTCATCTCATCCACTCTGTCTAGGGCCTCAACAGAGGCCTTGATAGCCGTAGCACCTGATAGTATAGGCAGATAGTATTGCCGGTAAAGAAAAGGGAGCCTAGAATGGCCATTACTGGCTCATTAGCCGACTTAAACCGGCAAGACAACGAGCTCGTGATTCAATCGTTAGGGATTTTGACTCTCATGAAAAAGGTCGCGAGTTCGAGGCTCGGGTGGGACGCCACTTGGGCCTCGGTATGACTGGCTGAGGACGGTTAATAAGCCAGAAATGGCCATTCCAATCTCTTTTGCCTTTGCCGGCAACACTATCTGCCTATTATTTTTTTATTGTTATGAACCCCCAATAACTCGTCGTCGTCGTCGCCGCCGCCGCCGCCGCCACCGCCGCCACCGCCACCACCACAAATATGAGAAAAAGTGAGTTAGTAACGAGGCTAAAAAGCCAAATACACCCAGC